CGCAGCAAGAAGCCACAAACACGATCACTGCGATCATGTAAAAATGTTCGGATGACTGAGCGGCAGTCGTAAGGTATTGAACACTTGTCCAACCCATGGATGCTCACCCCCTGCGTTGGGCGCTCTGAATGGTCGCACACCTCCTTCCTCCCGCCTCCATCTTCCTGTCCCCATCCTTCCTGCTTGCTAGCCTGCCTCCTACCTCACCGCCCTGCCTGGAAACTCGCAGGGGGGCTGCGAACTGCGAAACCGTCGCCACTTTCGAGGGCTGCTGGGGGGAGGGCCAGCCGAGTGACGTCATACGGAGACTCAGATTAGGCCTCGCCACCCCTGGGTGGTTGCGAACTGCGAAACCGTCACCACTTTCAACGGCTGCTGGGGTGCCAGCCGAGTGACGCCATACGCAGATTCAGATCAGACATCGCCATCCTTGGCGGGGGGCTGCAACATGCGAAACCGTCGCAACTTACGAGGGCTGCTGGAGTGCCAGCCGAGTGACGCCGTACGCAGATTCAGATCAGACCTCGCCATCCCTGTGGGGGTGCTGCGAAGTGTGCAGGTGCCGCCACGCTCGGGAACTGCCGGGGCCAGTTGGAGGAACGCCACACGCAGAATCCGATAAGATGTTGCCATCCCGGGAGGGTTGAGAATTGCGAAAGAGTTGTCATGTTCGAGGGTTGTTGGGGGGCAGCGGGGTGACGCCAGTCGCAGAGTCAGATCAGACCTCGCCATCCCTGGGGCGCTGCGCACTGCGACAGTGTCGCCACTTCCAAGGGCTGCTGGGGGGAGGCAGCACAGTGACGTCCTATGCGGACGCAGATTAGACCTCGCCATCTCTGGGTGGCTGCGAACTGCGAAACCGTCGCCACCTTCGATGTGTCCTGGGGTGTCCAGCGGGGTGACGTCTCGGCGTCGCCATCCTTGAGGGGCTGCGGACTGCGAAACAGTCGCCACTTCCGAGATCGTTTGAAGGGTTCATATTCAGATTGTTAGCGCGATATGATGCAGATCGGAGCGGCACCTCACCATCTCTGGGGTGCTGCGAACTGCGCAACTGTCGCCATTTTCGTGTGCTAGACCTTGCCAGCCCTTGGGGGGCCTCAGTCTTTGTCCCTCTGTGGTTATCCCATGAGCCGCGTCACGCGCGCGCATGCTCGGCAGCTTGCACAACAAATGACGACGGTTCTTGCGTTGTCATCATCCATACTAGTTTGAACCGACTCCTCGTGTCATTTGATGCTGATAGGCTGGGCACCTCGCAGGGTAATCTTAACGCGCCGCCCCAAGGGTTTCGACCCCTTCCCAGGGGGCAATTTACCGCCCAGGATGCATGATTGATGGCCCCAGTAGCCGAAATCGAGGCACAACGTCTGGATTGAACAACACATTGGGGATTTGGGTCTTGATGTTGGACACCCGAAATGGGCACGGAAAAAATGGGCACGATGCCTAACAGCAGACGGTGTCCAAAACCGACAGCAGCCGCTCTTGGACAGGCTGCCTCCTGCCTCACATGAACAACGTCCGCGGCGCCACCGACAGCGAGTCTTGAGCAAAATGAGCCCACTCTTTCCGCCTTCTCGCTTTTTCGCTATCACCCTCAGAAGCCCTCGGAACTGCCTCTGGGGGCGCTCTTGAGTGCTATTTGGGCAGTGTTGGCACCCTCTTGTGCCCCTCTTGAGGCCATCTTGAGGTCTCAGAGGCCTGTCTGAATCAAAAGTGCAGCTGCTGTCGGTCTTCGCAATTACCCATTATTTCCGTGCCCATTTCGATATTACTGATCGATGCTCGATCCTCCCCCTCCCCCGTGTGGGTCCGAAAAAAGCCCCAGGGCCAGGAGCCTCTTGGAAAAGGCCAAAGAAGGACGGCGGTTAGCGTTCCATAGCCCCATCGTTCCCCTAAGTCTCGAGCCTCTCGATGCTCGACCCCCAGACCCTTCCGAGGAGGCATGGGAAGATCACGGCTGGAGGTTTTTCGCTATGTTCGACCTTTGGGGGCCGGTACCAGGCCTCGGGACCGTCAAACATTGATTCAGGAGGAAACACTGGCCCCGGGGAACGGCCGAGACCTCTGGGAGTCGACGTTCCGAAGTTGTCCCGGCGGAGGACCCAAACATCTGCAGCCGTGGATGCCGTCGCCGTGGGCATCGCCCTGGGCGGATCTCCTCTGTGGAGACGAGGGCCGTGCGCATGGGCGTGCCGACGTGTAGCGGAGAGCCGCTACAGTCGGGGCCCTGAAGAAGGAGCCTTTTTCGTTGGGGAGGGGCTCCGCGTTCCTTAAGTGTTTCACAGCTTGCCTCATGCTTTCCATATGTTTTCGGCAGGAAATCGAAGGTTAACTTATGGAGAAAAGGGGCCTCGTTCCTTATTTTGGGTTCCTCAGGTCAACGCCCCGACTGTATGCGGGCGCTGCCACTGGGGCAGGCACCAGTGGGCCCCCGCTATGGGGCCACGAAGAGTGGCGGCGGGCGTGCCGAATATTGGCTGCGGGGGCGCCGCGCGGGCTGTGCCTCCGGGGCCTTCGGTGGCGCTCCCGATGGCGCTCCACGAATCGGGGGCTCCCAAACGGTGCGGTGACCCCACCGTGCGGTGAGTCGGTGGGGATGCGGGGTCCCCGCACGGCTTTGGGGCTCGGGTCGTTCTCCGAGGACGTCTCGGGCGACGGGGGCCTCCGGGGTCCCAAGACCGTGCGGTGACGGACCGTGCGGTGAGGTCTTGCGGGGGATTTCGAGGTCACCGCACGGTGCGTCACCGCACCGTTTTGGGACGCCAAAGATGGGGCCACGAAACGTGTGAGGCGTGTTCCAAATTGGCTGCGGGTGCGCCATGCGGACTGTGCCTGTGGAGCCTTCGGCGAAACTCCCTATGGTGCCACGAAGCGGACTGTGCCGCTGGGGCCTTCGGTGGAGCTCCCTATGGGGACACGCAGCGTGTGAGGGGTGTGCCGAACCGGATGCGGGTACGCCATGCGGACTGTGCCTCCGGGGCTTTCAGTGGCCCCTGTGGGGCCACGAAACTTGTGACGGGTGTGTCAAATCGGATGCGGGTATGCGGTGCGGATTGTGCCTTTGGAGCCTTCGGTGGATCTCCCTATCGGGTCACGAAACGTGTGAGGGATGCTGGAATGGCGGAGGCCAGAGGCAAGGGTGGGAGGATGGGAGGAGGGAGGAGAGGGAGGAGAAGACGTGGGAGACGCGGGGCGCTGTCTCTTCAAAACGAGGACCCAACACGACAGGATGGTCCGGAAAAAAAACATGACGTCGGGAGTGTCGAGCCTCTCGATGCTCGACCCACCCGGTTTTGTTTCGATCCGATCAATCCGATTTGATATCGATTTTGGCTGGTCCGAGCCGATTCGATTACGATATCCCGACGGTTCGATGCGGCCCGAGGCTTGCATGGCGCTGTTGTGCGTCCTGGCGCAGTCGGTCCGATTCGATGTACGTGTCGATTCCATCCGATTTGCCGATTCGATGCTGGCTGATCCTGCCGTCCCTCCAGCAGGAGGATGAGGAGGAGGAGGAGGAAGAGGAGGAGGAGGAGGGGGATCAGGAGGAGGAGGAGGTTTACCAGCCTGGAGCCTCTCCCTACGGTGGATCCATGCGGTGATGGGGCGACGGCGGCGCGCCGGCGACGCCGGCCAAGGCGTTCAAGGGTGATTTCCGCATGGCCCAGACCCCCTCGGGTCAGGAAAAAGTCACGACGGGAGGTTTTTCACTATTTGCGGCCTCTGGATGCCCCTGCCGGCCCTCGGAACCGTCAAAAAACGAGTCGGGATGAAATACCGGTCCTGGAGAATGGATCGAGACCGTTCGCCGCTCGTGATGACTCTCGATGCTCGACCCTCCCTCAGTACCCGAAGTTTCTGAGGGCACGCCCAAAGTTCTGAGGGCGAACCTTAATTGTCATCGCCGTTCGGCTTGTCAATCTTTGGGGTCGGCATCAGCTCGAAGCTGGTTATCCTCCCTCCGACTAGGTCCGAAAGTCTTCTAATGCTTTCCCTGAGGCTCCCCCCCACGAACGGCGAATGGCCGCTTAAGTCAGGCAACAGAGGACGCAAAACGCTCCGTCGATGGACTGATTTTCATCCCTGGACTGTCTTTCGGTGTGTGCAGTAGGTTCGTGTCGTGCCGACCGGCGTCGACCGCGCCGCCAGCGTTCAATGTTGAACGCCGCTAGCGACCCAAAATCGGCCGATGTTGAACAATCCGTCGCTTCGGGAACGGTCTATCGTTCAAGGTTGAAGCATCCAGGCGGTGTCAGAAACCAACGCCGGGGTCGACACGACGCGAAACCGCCGAACACCTCTCGATCTTTGAATCGGGGAACAACCAATAACATACAAACTTTCGGAAGTCTGCGCGGATTTCTCGGAACGGCGCTGGATCCCTCTTAGCTCGCGCGCGGAGCGCGCCAGAGGCGGCGTTGGAGGCGCCGCCGGGGGGCCCCAGCACCGATCCGAGGAATCCGCGCGAACCTCCGAAAGTCTTGGTTTGTCTTGGGCGGTGGCGAAGCGTCTTGGCTTGCCTATAGGCGCACCAGAAAATGTTGTAACAGCTTTTTGTGGTTTGCACGAAATGTTCCTACACCATGCCTCGAAGAGACTGTCTTGTTGCTGATGCATGTGGTTTATGTTCTACGAGCACTGATTGTCTTAGAACATGTTTGGGTTCTGAGAGCATGTCGTGGTAGGTCTATACGAATGCAGGGACGGTCGATCCCTGCTCAAATGTCTTTGTCTGTCCTTGGTTTCATGCGCCGTCCTTCCACCCTTCCTCCCGCGGGTTATGATGTTCCACCCTACTTTCGCCTTGATCACCAGAAAAAAATAAATTCGAGCACCAGAAAAGTACCGAAACTCGAGGGTTTTCACGTGTCGGGCCCTTGGGGAGTCTCGTCCGACGCTGTTTCGACACTGCTTCGACACTTTTCCGGGTGCTCGCAATTCTTTCTGGGATGTTGTCCTGAAGTACGCTTGGAGCAGCATGCCCCGCGGGCCAGGTCTGGGCCCAGGCGAGCGATCACGTCCTGAGCGGCGCCGCGGCGCCCGACGCGCTGCGGGAGAACCTGGAGCTGCTGGCGGCCACGGCGCGGGTGTTCTTCGACCTGAACGTCCGGGGGGGGGGAGGGGTCCCCGAATCGGCGTCACCCCAACATGCCTACACTACATGTGCGTCGCCCCCCCTGGGGGCGATGCGCCCACCGAGAGATCTTGCAGAATGCGCGTCGTGGCAGGCGCTTTCTGGCCACACCGCTCGGGGAGGAAGGTACTACAATATGAGTATACTATATGTTCGGGTCGGACGCGCGCCTCCAAGTAATTAGGACATAGTATTAGTATGTCTCTGTGCGTCCCACCAAGCCCCCTCGCGTTGTGAATAAATCACGGCGGGAGGTTTTTCGCTATTTTCGGTTTCTGGGGGCCCTTATCAGGTGATCGCAGACATGGATCAAGGGGGCGTGAATTAGCGACGGGTCCTGTTTCCATGGGAAATGGCAGATTTCCGAAGGAGGCGGCAACAGCCGCATTTTAGGGAGGGCACCTCCCCCGATACATGGATTTGGCGACCGCGAGCCAAATCCATGGATCGCTAATCCATGTTTGCGCGCCACTGGACCTTAAGTACTGGGTCTAGAAACTGGTCTCGTGGAGAGCGTAGAGGTATCTGGCGGTCGACGTTGAACAAATCACGACGTCGGGGGTCTGGGTCGGTAGCAAACCATGGGAACTTATCATACCCTCGCAACCTCTTTTTCTTTTTCAAAGGGCATCAGCGTCGACTAGCGTCTGGTAATTGAGGAGATATCGCCGACTCAGCGTCGATGAGCGATGCTTGGTGTCGAGTGAGCGTCGATTTGCAAGAGCTGGCTAGACAGTATGTGGGCTCCCATGAGTTGCTACCAAAAGGGAGGCTCTGTCTCTCTCTCTCTCTCTTTCTTCTCTCTCTCAGCACTCTTGTCTAGCGAGCGGGGGAACACTCAAGAGGCTTTCGCGCTGGAGCCGGCTGGGGGTCTGAGGTTACCCAGCATTGGTTCCAGCGAGCAGACAGGGGGGAAAGAGGTTCGAGGTGCTTCGAGAAAGTGCAGTTGCTTTTTTTTGCCTCCCGGGGCCGCTTTCGGGCCCGGGGGTCCGCCCGAGGTCTGTGGACCGATTTTGAGAGGGTTTGGCTCCATCCCTCCTCGTGACCCATCTTCTCGCTGCCCATCATGACCCCCCGGCCGCCTCCAACTCTCATCACGAGTATTTGTGCTTCGACGAGCCTGGCACTGCGCAGGAGGCCTGCGTCAGCCCGCCGGCCCCCCACGGAGAGGTGCGCGACCTCCGGTCTCGCACGGTGCGGCGCCGGCCGCTGCCCCCGTCGTGCTGCCTGCGCGTTGTGGTCGCTGCTTCTTCCGGCCCTCCGCCTCCGCGTCCCGTGCGCGGCTTCTTGGGCGCATCTTGGAGGGCGAGGAGGCGGCATCCCGAAGCCTTGCTAAGGCTGTCGGGGGGCCTTCGGGAGGCCCTCGGGGGGGCTTCTTGGGGGGCCTCTTGGACCTCCTGGGCGCATGCTAGAGTGTTCGGGATCCTAGTGGCCATCTTGGGGGGGAGGGCTCTCGGGCACCCTGCGAGTTCTCTCTCGCGTGCCTCTCCTGGGCTCCTTCAGGCCCTCCTGAAGGCTCTTTCGGCTGTCAAGGGAGATCTGGGGCCGCCTTGGCCAGACTGGAGGCCTCTCGAGACGTCTTGGACTTTCAGAAGCCCCCCTGGCGTGTCGGAGCCTTTCTGGAAGCATCTTGGAAGGCATCCTGCCCCCCCTTACTGTGATTTTGGATTGCAGGGGAGGGCGACCAAGGGGGGAGGAACAGCCAACATAAATGTCCCCCACACACTTTCCCCCCATCAAGCTGCGTTCGAGGGATATCTTGTTTTAGGGGGACGAGAGGTATAAGATAAACTTTTCCGCCGTCGGGGATGGCTGCCCCCCCCCCCCGGGCGGCTGCACAGTTTATACCCCTACGGTGCCACGTACGGGCATACGTTGTCCAGCCGCCCGGGGAGCAGGCGTCCCCGACCCGACGGCGCAAAAGTATGGTTGACCTTCCAGGGGCATCGCAGGCAGAACGTCGTTGAGCAGCGCGACGCTGCACAGTGCCAACGAGGGAGGGGGGGAATGGTACTCCAGATTTCGTAATAAAAGGGAGGGGGTCTCAACCCTCCCAGACGAGAAGTTTTAGGCCCTCCCAGACCATCCGTGAAAGGGCGGCCCTTTGCCCAGACCCCCCCGAACCCTCCAAGACAGCTCAAATCAGACCCCCCCCCAAATGTGACCCCCCCGACTTTATTATGGAATCCGGAGTACCCCCTTCCGAAGTGAGAGCGTCTGGCATGTGAGGGCGCGGCCGTGCCCAGAGACCGAGGTCGGCCCCATGGCGTCCGCCGTTGGTGGCCTCGGCGTGTGGGCGTTGTGCCTCCGCCCTTTTCTGCCCCCCTCTCTCCCGCCCCCCTCCCTCTCCATCCCTCTTCGCGTGGCGGCAGCCTGTGCTTCAGTGCTTAATGGGCCCTGGAAACGACAGGGCAGTTTTTTTACCGGTTCCGTTTTTCCGTTTTTCTGCCGGTTCCGACGCCGTTTTTTTTCCGGTTCCGTCGCCGTTTTTTGACCGGTTCCGGCTCCGGTTCCAATCCTGGAGCCGTTTTTTCCCGTTTCTTGTGGCCGTTTTTTTGCCGCTTCCATTTTCAAGGATTTTTTTTTGGAAACGGTGAAAAAACGGCCCTGCCGTGGCCCACAAAGCTTCAGTGGGCTCACCCCATCTTCTGTTTCGGACCAGCCTCCTCGGACACAGGCCGGTCCATGCTCCATGCTCCTCTTTCCCCCCTCCTTACGGATGCAGTCAGACCTCATAGACTGGACCCACGGATGTCCTTAGGGTGCCTTTGCGTCCTTGCCTCTGCGGCCCGTCCTTCGCTGTTTCCACTGGCCATCCCTTCAGGGTGTTGGCAGTCCGCCGCCCAAAATGTGCCAGGTTCGGCGTCCAAGGCCCTTGCGTCCTTACCGCCCGCCCTGATTATAGATTTCGATTGTAACGGCTCCCTGTCGCACCCCATGCGTGTCTGTAAGGCCGGGCCGGGCGTTTCGCCCAACACGTCCGCACCATGTATGGTCTGGAAGTTTGGACATTGCAACAGCTTCAGGGATAGAACGCAGGTCGTTTTCAATATGGGGTCCTCGCCTCAGCGCCGCGCACATTCGTCTTACGAGGATGGACCGGGGTGGCTTTGAAATTGGAGCTCTCGCATTATTGCCGCGCGCAGTCGTTTGAAAAGGTTGCAGCAACTCTGCTTCAAGGATGGGTGGGGTCACAATGGGGCTTTCGCCTCAGCGCCGCGCCGCGCTTTCACATCAGCTTCAAGGATCGAAGTGGGGCGGGTTCAAAATGGTGCTCTCGCCTGAGCGCTGTTCGCATTCGTCTTAAGCGTTTGCAGCATATTCGAGGATTGAGCGCAGGGCGTTCTCAAGATGAGACTATCTCCTCAGCCCCGCGCACATTCGTTTTAAGAGTTTGCATCAGTTTCAAGGGTTGAGGGGGGTGGTCTTCACACTATTGCCCTCACATCAGAGCCGCGTACATCCATTTTAAAGGTTTGCAGCAGCTTCAAGGGAGGAGGGCGGCCTGTTTCCAGCATGGGACTCTCGCCTCGGCGCCGCCCACACTCGTCTTTGAGCCTGCAGCGGGTACACGTCGGTCGTTGAAAGTATGTATTTTTGGATGCCCAAATCCTAATCTACTTTAGGCGCCTTCCTACTTCAAGAGTCGAGCGGTTGTCCTTCTTTCCTCATCTTCAGGGGGCGGGCAGAAGTCCAATCTACTTCCAACGCCTTCCTACTTCATGTTTCTACCCACCTCTTCCGACCGGCGTGTACGCGGATAGAGAACGGTTTTTTTGACACATGGTCGTGCGTTGGGCTGCCGCTGATGGTGCAAGAGCCAGCGGAGATCTGCATGTATGCCGCAGCTGCACGGACAGAAGGCGGCTTTTTGGAAGACGTTGATCGCTTGAGGTGTTCTGCCAAGTTCAGGAGGAGAACCAAACACACAGGCACAATGAATCGTCGATTCCCAGGACCATGTGGGAAACTATGGGAAGTGGGAGGGAAGACAAAACCCCAGAGAACATGGGAAACTATGGGAAATCATGTTCTTTGTGTATATTTATTTGTGTGTCCCATGGCCCCTTCACAAGTTCACGGCCGTTGGCGCACAGTGGTGCAGCAGGTGCGCGGAGTGAGGGCGGCTACTGTTTCAACACGGGGGCTCTGTAGGACACTCAGCTGAATCGTAGGGCAGCAGCGCCCTCTTGCAGTACTGAGCTACTCGCTCGAGAGGTTGCGAGGCAGTTCGTTTTTGACACAGGGCTCTGGCCTGAGCTGGCAGACCGGGGTTGCTCCCTGTAGTGATCAGGAAGGCTTGCAGGAACTATTCGGAAGGGAGCTGGGGACGGGCGGGTGTACTGCAGCATCGTTGATGCATATTGGGTTTACTCCGTCCTCCTCCTCCTCCTCCTCCTCCTCCTCTTCCTCCTCCTCCTCCTCTTCCTCCTCCTCGTCCTCCTCCGAGTCCGTCTGCTCCCTGGTCTCCACCTCGGTGCCTTTTAACTCATCCTCGTCTGCCTCCTCCCTTTGTTCCCCCGCCTCCTCCTGCCCTCCTACTTCCCCCCCGTCCCATCCCGCCCCCCTCCTCCAGATGGCGCAGCGGGTGGCCACGGGATGCCGCAAAGGAATAGAAGGAGGATGATGACGGGGAGGTTAAGGCGAGTTCGCTGTGCAATGCTTTAAACAGTCGGCGTCTGTGGCGGGCTTCTTCATATTGGCCATCGACCCTCACAAAGAGTCGACGACCTCCTCGCGTGCTCGCTCTTATCCGTAACTGCGGGGGCTATCGTATTCCGTCGTCTTGCGCTGTCCAGTCCATCGGCCATGCGGTGTCTTTTGGGCCCGCTAGGCCTTTGGGCCTCTCCGGATCCAGGGCCGATGCTATCTGCCGCGTTCGGGCTCCCGAGGCCCTGCGAGGGCCGCACGACCGAAGAGAAAGCCCCGGCAAGCACAAAGCGTTCTCGACAGTGGCGCTGGTAAAGTATATCCGTGGCCGAAGAACCGGACGCTCAATCCGTTTCGACTCCCGCTCAAATCCGACCTCGATCCGTTTCGAATCCTGCTCAATCCGTTTCCAATCCCGTCTCGATCCTTGTTTTCATCCGGCTCAGTCCGGTTGTGGAGCCCCCCAAACATCCCCCAGTCGTTCCTGCGAGCACCTGGGTTCTCGATAGTGGACCGGCCGTTCAACGCAGCCATCCAGCTGCCGCGCGGAAGACCGCCCGACGGCCACCAGAGACCGCCCGAGGCCGGCAAGGCCTGTGGGTGGCATGGGGCCCATGTGCGATCAGCAAGCAGGGGGCGTCCTTGAATGCTCTGCACCAGCCGCGGCGCCCGATACATGCTTCTGCACTTGAGTCGGAGACATCCTTCTGCACTCAAGTCGGGCGTGTCCCTCTGCAGGCGGCATGTTCAAGAATAGGTCGAAACGTCTGGGGACGATTTTTTTTTTTTTTTTTTCTTTTTACTATTTTTGAGCATGTTTGGGATCTGTTTCGACTATTCTCCATTTGTTGTCCAAAATTACCCCGTAGGATTCACTCCCGACCTGATTCTGGACTGACGGATATCCGAGAAGTTCTGATTCGCCCCGATCCGATTCGGAGGCCTTACCTTGGCATCGCTCGGACGTGTACATTTTTCCTTCGGCGAGGACCATCGAGGAGCATCCTTGATCAATTGGCGAAACAACCACGCACGGAACCGAAAAAAACAGGGAATGGACGTCCGAGCGATGGCCAGTTACGGCCTCTGCCGCTGAGCCTGACGGGGGAAGACCACGACGGCGACGACGACGCTGACGCTCTGGAGCCGACAGCTTCTCCCAGGGAGGGGTGCTGACAGATGTCGGAGATTCCCGATTTTTCTCAAGCCAGGCCTGTCATTCTGCAGGGGGAATCTCCAAAAGTAGTCTAAGAATAGCCTGGGGCGATCCTTTGAGTATGTGTTTGAGTAGTCTGTGGAATATTTGTTGTTTCTCTGCTATCTGTCGTCCAACATCCCCCTGTAGGAGGACACGCCCGACCTAAGATGTATCCCGACCCGCGGCCCAATTTGTTCCCGCTCCTGGCCTCGCCTGCGGCTGCGCAAGCGAAGGCCTCCCAGGCGCTGCCCCCCCCCTGGCGTGTTCCCCTCGGGGCCGCCCGCGCCGCGTCTGCGGGCAGGAGCCACGCCCGCATCCGCAGCGTCTTGGACTCTCGGGGAGGGGGGCGCCAAAAGACCGAGGCTGAGGGACCTGTTCTCCACCACCACCACCATCAGTTGGGAGGGGGGAAAGAGGAGGAGGAGGAGGAGGAGGAGGAGGAGGCGGAGGAGGAGGAGGAGGAGGCGGAGGAGGCGGAGGCGGAGGAGGAGGAGGAGGAGGTGAAGGAGGAGGCGGAGGAGGCGGAGGCGGAGGAGGAGGAGGAGGAGGAGCAGGAGAGGAGGCGGAGGAGAGGAGGAGGAGGAGGAGGAGGAGGAGGAGGAGGAGGAGGAGGAGGAGGAGGAGGAGGACCGCCTCCCACTCCAGCTTGTAGTGGTGGTGGAAAACAGGCCCGTCAGAGGTGCATTCGGCATGGATAAGATTCTAGTCGCTGCGGGGCCAGGCCTCTGTCCACAGCCACTGCGCCTCCTTGCTTCTGGGGACGGGGGCCCGAAACTCCACGGCGTGGTGGATACGGATGCACGTCGTGCCCGCGCCCTCGGGGCCGCCCTGCCCGAGCACGCTCCTCCGCCGACGTCGGCGCTGCGGCGAGGAGGCTGCTGGCAGCGGCCGCGGGCCCAGGCACCAGCCGGGCCACGAGGATCAAGCAGTGGTGAAGCGTCCTGGCGTGCTTATAGGCCCACCAAGGACTGTGCTCAGAACCTTTGAGGTCTGCACGGGATGCTCTCAGAACATTTCTGGCTGGGGCTGTCTTATTTGAACACATTGGGCCTGCGTTCTAAGAGCATGGTTGTTGCCATTCCGCACTTTCGGATTATAAGAACAGTCCGTGGTAGGCCTAAAGGAATGCCAGGACGGTCGGTCCCTGCTCAAGAGGAGGGCCACTGGCGAGGCCGCACGAGGCGGGACAGGGGGCGGCCGAGCGCGGGGCAACCCTTGACGGAGTGTTCCGACGTATCGGGGCCCAGCGGGACGTGGCAGATGCCGCTCCACCCCGTTGAATCCGGCATGATCCCTTTCCGATCCCGCTAAACTCTGCTTCGTTCGAGCAGTGGCGAAGCGTCCTGGCTTGCCCATCGCAGGCCCGCCAAATGCTGTTCCCAGAACCCTTTGCGGTCGGTGGTCTTCGAACATGTCTGGCTGAGACTGTCTTGTTTGAGCACATCGGGCTTCATGCCCTGGGGACATTGTTGTTGTTGTTGTTGCTGCTGTTGTTATTGTTGTTGTTGTTGTTGTTGTTGGTGGTGGTGGTGGTGTTGTTGTGGTTGTGGTTGTGGTTGTTGTTGTTGTGGTTGTTGTTGTTGTTGTTGTTGTTGTGGTTGTGGTTGTGGTTGTTGGTGTTGTTGTTGTTGCTGTTGCTGTTGCTGCTGTTGTTGTTGTTGTTGGTGTTGTTGTTGTTGTGGTTGTGGTTGTGGTTGTTGTTGTTGTTGTTGTTGTTGTTGTTGTTGTTGTTGTTGTTGTTGTTGTTGTTGTTGTTGTTGTTGTTGTTGTTGTTGTTTGTGTTGTTGTTGTTGTTGCTGTTGTTGTTGTTGTTGTTGTTGATATGAGATTGTGGTGTATTCTAAGAACATGCCGTGGTATGCTTATAAGAATGTCGGGGCGATCTATCTGGCTGAGGCCTGGGCCTGACCTTTGGCGTATGAGCCGGACCGGCTCAGTCTTTGATGGCTGCCCCCTTCTCGAGCGCCACAGGCCGTAGTCGCTCTCGCGAGTCTGCCTTCCTGGCCCCCGCCCCCCCTTTCCCCCCTCCTCCTCCTCCTCCTCCTCCTCCTCCTCCTCCTCCTCCTCCTCCTCCTCCTCCTCCTCCTCCTCCTCCTCCTCCCCCTTCCATCCATTCTCCTTCTAGATAGCTCCTCCCCTCGTCCCCCCCCTCGCTGCGCTCCCAGTAGGTAGGGCCGCGCCGCCGAGCGCCCCGCGGCCCCCTCGCCTCGATCGTCTCGCCTCGGCCTACCTCGGGCTCGCCTCGGGCCTCCTGCGGCTGCCTTCGGGAGGAGGAGGAGGAGGAGGAGGAGGAGGAGGAGGACGAGGACGAGGACGAGTACGAGGACGAGGAGGACGAGGACGAGACGAGGGAGAGGCCCGGCGGGCGTGGGCAGGTGCCCGCGCTCCCGGCCTTCTTCAGCGAGAACAGGGAGGCCTACCTGAGGTGCTTCATCCTCCTCCTCCTCCTCCTCCTCTCCTCCTCCTCCTCCTCCTCCTCCTCCTCCTCCTCCTCCTCCTCCTCCGCCTCCTCCTCCTCCCTCCTCCTCCTCCTCCTCCTCCTCCCCCCCACGACCGTCGATCGGCAACGTCGGGAGGGTCTGCGCGCGCCGCCGCGCCGAGCCTGCGAGTCGTCGCCGGCGCCGCCGCTGTCGCGATCGGTCGTCGTCGTCGCGGCCAGTCGGTCGTCGGTCGGTCGGCCGTGGTCGTGTCCGCGCGCGCGGGAGCGTGCGAAGAGGGAGAGGGGGAGAGAGGAGGTGGAGGTGGAGGAGGAGGAGCAGGAGGAGCAGGAGGAATAGGAGGAGGAGCAGAAGGAGGAGGAGGAGGAGGAGGAGGAGAAGGTGGAAGAGGAGGAGGAGGAGGAGGAGGAGGAAAATGCAGGGGTACGAAGGAATGCAAGGAGGATGCTTGGGGGAAAGAAGAAGGCATGAGGGAGTATGGCAGAGGAGGCAGGTTGAGTTGCAGGAGCTGCCCATCCCTCCCCTTTCTCCATCCTTCCACCTCCCCTCCCCTGGTCCCCTCGAGCCCCTATCCCCTTCCTTTTACAATTGCACAATATGAATCGTATTCCCCTCTCTCCCCTGATGACGTTCAGAAGACATCCAGCCCCCCTCCGCGTTCTGTTTTTTTACAGCGGACTTCCGGGAGTTGGGTTTTCGCTTACTTTTTGTTCGAACTGATATTCCCGCTGAAAGCGCTGGCCTCATTTCTGGGCTTCCGCTCATTCCGAATCGTGCTCCCGCTGCAGCGCTGGCCTTCCACATTGGCCCCAAAATCTAGAAAATGCCCCCCCGAACAAATGTAGGAAGTGATTACACATTCGCTGTCGATTCATTGATTCTTTGGGCCGCAGAACCCTGCAAATTTGGGGCGTCGCCGTTTTCAGTCAGTATCAAGCGGGAGCCCCGCTTCTATTTAAAGAAAGCGATGTTGAACGCAGAGCCAGCGGGTGCTCTCCATCAGTCCCGCCTTGTGTGGAACTTCTCGGGGAGCCCAAGGAGCTAGACATGGAGCCACGACTCCAGACCGGTCCAGACCTCTCGAAGAAGATCGCCTTCCCCTCCAAGGAACTTGGCGTCATGCCATGACGTGTTGTGCGGTGTGCTGTTTTGCGCCGCTGTGCGATGCCATGCTCTGCGTTGCAATGCTTTGTGATGCTCGTAGTCCAACCCAGTGGCTTAGACGGCGCATGTCTGGAGAAGCGCCCATGACTCGGGGGTGGACAGAACCCCCAACAGTGACACGTCGATTCGTGAATTGTCCGTTTTCGGTTCTCGAGAGGGCGCCGTGGCCGCTATTTTCCAGGCTTGCGCCCGCCAGGTTTGGGCCTCAGGTCGTTTCCACGAAACCACGTTTTGCTAAAAAGGGGCCTGTCCATCCCCGAATGACGGTAGTCAAAACGGCCCCAAGACTACGTTCGCGAAGGCGAACGCAGTCGCCAATTCAGCTCCAACACCTCGTCCAGACGAGAGGTGCCGCCCACTCGGCCCCGACACTTTGTTCGTCAAGCCCGCCAGGTTTGGGCCTCAGGTCGTTTCCACGAAATTACGAAAGGGGGGCTTGTCCATCCCCGAAGGACGGTCGTCAAAGCGGCCCCAAGGCTACGCTCGCGAAGGCGAACGCGGTCGCCAAGTCGGCTCCAGCCTTCCGTCCAGACGAGAGGAGCCGCCCACTCTCGGCCCCGACACGTTGTTGGTCAGGCCCGAGGCCCCCCTCTCTCCCGGGGGAACCTCCTCGGGAGACCCCGGGGGGGGGGGCCGGAACGCCGTAGTATACGCCCTCCTCCCTCCTCCGTCCTCCTCCTCCCTCCTCCTCCTCCCCCTCCTCCTCCTCCTCCTCCTCCTCCTCCTCCTCCTCCTCTTCCTCCTCCTCCTCCTCCTCCTCCTCCTCCTCCCTAGATGGGGTCGGCGTAGATGGGATCGGATGATCGCGCTGCATCTATTGGTGGCGGAAAAGAGGGGGGTGATGACTAGGGGGGGGGAATATCATGGCGGGGGCCATGATTTTTGTCCCTGATTTCATGGCGCCTCTTCTTATTTCAATACGTCCCTGGCCTCCCCGCTGGGCCGCGCACATGCCGCCGGTCATGATTTGCACCCCCCCTCTTGGACACCCCCCTCTTGGCCGCTCCCGATCCCAGACGGCCAAATTTTGCCTTCGATTGACCCTCGAGGCGTTTCAAAAACGCCCCACAAGAGTTCCAAAACGGCCCAAGATGACACCGCGTCAGCCCTAAGGTGGCCCAGGGCGCCCCCTCAAAGGGCCCCAAGAAACAAGAACTGTTTCATTTCCCAGGAGCATTTTTTTTCAACAGATTCGCCCTTTGGGCTTTCACAGCGCCCCAGACGGCCCAAGATCTTCAGTTTCCAAAAACAGGGCAGGAGGCCCCCAAGAGAGATCCAAAACGGCCCAAGAAAGGGCCCAAGACGGCCCAGAAGGCCTCCAAGATGCCCCAATATAGCCTCATGACAGGCCCAAGAGGAGGCCTTGAGGGGAAAACGGTGTTCAAATTTCGAGCTTTGGTCCCAGGAGGCTCCCAAGAGGCACCACGAGGCTTCGAAAGGCCCCAAGAGGCTCCTAAAAGCCACCCAGGAGGCCCTTGGGAAGCCCCCAAGAGGCCGAACCATCGCCTACAGTATGCTCCTGAGTGGCCTCCAAGATGCCTCCAAGACGCCCCCAAAGGGGCCCCCCAAACTGGTTCCAATATACCTCCCAGGCGCTCAGGTTTAAACACAAGTGTTGCAACACACATAGTTTTTGTCCAATGGTCACGGTCCTGGGGGAGATCGTCGAACTTTCCCGAGTCCAGGCTTGGGCCTCCGTGCCGTCGCCGTCGCCATATCCGTCGCGATGCCCGCGTTCCTTCCGCGTCGCCGTCGCCATCGCCATCGCGACAGCCCCAGAGTCGCCCCTCGAACCACAAGAAGCTCTTAAGAGACCTCTCGAGACGGCCTCGAGAGGCCCTAATCGTCCAGATTTTCAGCGCAGTATTTTTTGGGGGTTTTCACAGCGCCCAAAACAGCCCAAATGGCCCCTAAGATCGGCCCCCAAGAGGGCGCCACGACGGCCCAAGAGGGGGCGGCAAGAGGCCCAAGAGCACCCAAGAGGGCGCCAAGAGTGCCCAAAAGACGGCCCAGGAGGCGCCCAAGACGGCCCAATACGGCCCCAAGAGAGCCCCAGTGGCTCCAAACATGGCCCCAAGACCGTCCGGGAGGCCCCCAAAGACGCTCCCAAGAAGCTCTGAGCGGCATGAAAGAGGACTTGCATAGGCCTCCTGAGGCCCCTAAGAATCACGCCGCGAGGCCCTCAGAGGCTTCCAAGACGTCCCTACCTCACGCTCCATGTCAGGGGTGTGTGCGTGCGTGCATGTGTGCGTGCGTGTGCGCGCGTGCGTGTGTGTGTGTGTGTGGTTGTGTGTATGTGTGTGTGTGTGTGTGTGTGTCTGTGTTTGAGTCTATGTCTGTGTCTGTGTCTGTGTCTGTGTCTATGTGTATCTGTATCTGTGTGTGTGTCTGTGTGTGTGTGTCTGTGCGAGTGCGCGCGTGTGCACGTGTGTGTGTGCGGGCGTTTGCGCGTGTGCATTTGTTTGCGTGTGTGTGCGCGCGTGTGTGTGTGTGTGTGTTTGCGTGCGTGCGTGCGTGCGTGCGTGTGTGTGTGCGCGTGTGTGCGGTGCGTGCGTGCGTGCGTGCGTGCGTGCGTGTGTGTGTGTGTTTGTGTGTGTGTGTGTGTGTCTGTTTGTGAATTTGGGTTGCGTCGAGGGGGCGGGGGTGTGATGGTGGCAACGACATCCAATGGCTGGGTGGTTGCATGACATAATTATGGTGCCCCTGCGCGTGTGCGCGCGTGCTTCTGCGTGTCCGCGCGCGTGCATGTCCGTGTGCATGTGTGTCTCTCTGAGCATGTGTGTTTTTGTGTGCGCGCTCGGACCTCTGGATCCGGTCCAGGGGAACTAGGGGGAGGAAAAGCTTGTTATTCCTGGTGGCCCAAAGCGGTCGACGGATTCTTCATCCAGGCAGTTCTTCCTAAAGGCCAGTGTGCGCGCGTGCTTGCGGGTGGGTGTCAGCTTGTGTCTCTGTTTTCGTGTGTTTATTGGATATGTTGTCGAGGTGTGGGTGGATGGGATGGTTCACGATATTATACGGGGGGGTGGTTGCATCATAAGCTGCGCGCGCGAGTGGGTGCGCATGTGCGCATGCGCGCGTGCCTTGGAGCCCCAGGAAGGCCCGCAGGGCACTAGAGAGAGTCCAAACTGGCGGCCAAGAAAGCTCCAAGATAGCGTCGGAGTGTTCGCTGCTCGTCCCTCCTTCTCATGCTCCTCCTCCTCCCCTCCTCCGGCTCCCTCGACTCCGCCTCCTCCTCCTCTTCCTGATCCTCCTCCTCCCGAGTGCAGGAAACTCAGGAAGGCGGAGAAAGGGGACAGCGAGGAGAAAGAAAAAGGAGGAGGAACGAGAATGGAGGTCCAAGGAGACAAGAGGAGATAGAAGGGGGAGCAAGGGGAAAGCTCTATCTCTTTCTTTCTCTCTCCCTCTTCCCTTTGCTTCCTCTCTCCCAGCCTTTCGACGCGTCGCACGTCGACCTCTCCATTGGGGTTTGTGGATTCGCGCAAGTTCTAGTGACGTCGACTGCGCAGTCGGCTAGAACCTAAGCGCGCGCGCGTGTTTACACTGTGTGTACATACATGTATACACACATAAATCAACATATGTGTAATTTCGGACTCCTGGAACTTTGCGTATGTATGAGCGTCTCCCTTGGCCCCTGTATAGATTCCTCCCCCCCTCCTCCGGCACCTCCTTCCAGCCCCCCCCCTACTGATCCCCGAGCCCCTCCCTCTCCGTGGCGGGGCCGCCCCCAGTCGCTCGCTGGCGCTCCTGGGCTCTGGCGCCCCCACGGCCAGCACGTGCTGCTCCAGGAGGGATCCCCCGGGGGGGGCAGTGGGGGGCTGCAGTTGTCTGTCCTCCTCGCGCCCGCTCCCCCTCCTCCCCCCTCCTCATTGTCTTGATCCTCTCCTCCTCCTCCTCTCTTTCCTCCACCTCCTCCTCCTCCTCCTCTCCTACTCCTCATCCCTCCTCATCCTCCTCCTACTCTCCCTCCTCCATCCCCTCCTCCTCCTCCTCCCCTCTCCATCCTCCTCCCCCCCTCCCCTCCTCCTCCTCCTCCTCCTCCTCCTCCTCCTCCTCCTCCTCCTCCTCCTCCTCCTCCTCCCCGTTCGCCTGCTCTCTCAGGGCGCCTCTCACATCAAGTGTCTTCTGGCGCTTCGCATCCAACGTTCGAGCTGTCTTGCACCGACGAAGAAAACAACGCTACAGACATAAACTGTTGGCGCTCCGCGCGGATCTCTTGGACCCCGGCGGCGCGCTCCGCGCGCCAGGGCGGGGGGGTCCAGCGCGGATCCGAGAACTCCGCCCGGAGCGCCAAAAGTGTATGTTTATTGCTTTGTTTTCCATTCGGGGGGGGACAGAACCTCCACCATGACACGTCGATTAGTGAATTGTCCGTGTTCGGTTCTCGAGAGGGCGCCGCGGCGGTCATCTTCCAGGCTTGCCCCCGCCAGGTTTAGGCCCGAGGTCGTTTTCACTAAACCACGTTTTGCTAAAGGGGGGTCTGTCCATCCCCGAGTTTCTCTTTCCATAATACTACGTGTGCATCGCCCCCTCAGGGGCGACGCGCGCACCGAGAAGTCTTCTGGTATATGCGTGGTGGCGGGCGCTTTCTGCCCACGCCGCTCGGGAAGCGCTATACTACAAGGTGGGTATACCGTATGTTCGGGTCGGATGCGCGCCTCCAAGGAGGACATGTAGTACCAGAATGTCTCCGTGCCGCCCACACGAGGCGATATGACTGACGCGCCCCCGATGTGCTGTCTGCCTGGGTCAGCGGCGCTTGCTCGAAAGAGCTGAACCCCGGGAACGGCGCACCGGCCGATCCGACGTTTGACGACCTTCTCCTCCCCTGGCATCGCTTGGACGTGTGCACTTTTCCTTCGGCGAGGACCGGCGAGGAGCATACTTGATCATTTGGCGAAAAAGCCACGCACGAAACCGAACCAAAAACACAGGCAATGGACGCCCGAGCGATGGCCTCCTCCTTCCTCCTCTTCTGCATGCTGCGCAGAGACCTCCACGGCACAGCGCCGTCGTGGCGACCACGCGGGAGGTGCGCTACGTTCGGGGCTCTTGCAGGGTGCGTCAGATGCGCCTACGCACGTGACAACACACATCGGGAAGCATGGCGGCCCCCACCATCCGTGTCGACAATATACGCCCATCATTGTGTCTGGTGGGCCTGCGCACAGTAGGCCATACGCCACCATCCCCGCCGTCCCTGACAAAAACCACACGACAGTCATCGCGGGGCGGCCGCGCACGATTCAGATTTAACCGCGAGGTGCATGTTGTATTGTTGGTTGTCAGGGATGGTAGCCCGGCGCAGAGCAGGCAATATGCTGACACCACCGCCGTCCCTGTCAACAACAATACAAGGTGCTCGCGGGCCTCACAAACATGAGTCAAGATTTTGCCCCAAAGTGCACTTTGCATTATTTTTGAAAGGGATGGTGTGGGGGGGCGCATCGGTTTGGCCGCGCATGCTCCAAATGTGGAGGCAAAGTGCGTTTTGCGTTGTCTGTTGACAGGGGTGGTGTGGGGCGCCGAATGGTGTCCTCATGGTTCCTGGTTGGCTGCCGGTCGCTTTGGGGAGGGGGTGTACATTAGTAGGGGACAGTGATAAGCCACATTCCCAAAAGGAAAGAAGGGAGCTTGCAAGAAGCAAGAAGAAACTCACTAAGCCACTCGCGCCCCAAAGGGCTGGTGGGATTGGAGGACAATCGGCAGGAGACACAATCTGTCGGAGTTCTACGCGGAGTTCTTGGGTCGGCACTGAACGCAGCCTTGCGGCACCACCATTGTCGCCATCCACGCGCCGGGAAAGGGGGGTCCAGCGCAGATCCTGACCTCAGAAAAGGTAATGTTGATGCCTTGCCCCGCGAGTGCTCTGGAGCCCCACAGCCTCACCCTACCCAGCTAGCCACGGGAACTGGGCTGTGCCAATCGTCCAACCAGCCGTTGTTTGTCGAGCCATGTGGGCTTGCGCGGTGTGCGGTGTCAAGGATGTGGAAGAGTGGGGCCACCTCAGGGCCATCGCGGAATAATTGAGATACCCCATTCATGTGGGCCAGTTGGTTTTACGCGGGTGGGGACCCACACGTGCAGTCCTCTCGTATGCCCCAGCCGAGTCGGTACGGGAAAGACCTGCCTCGCTCCTTCCCATCGCTTCTCTTCCACTTCCCTTCCACTTCCCTTTGTCTGCTCATTCTCCAGCCCGAGCGACCCTCCTGCCCGCTGGGGCAGAGGCCGGCGGGGCCTGCAGCAACACCTCCCTGGATCCATGGTGCCACTGAGCGGCCATGACTGAGGCAAACGAGTCCTGAAATGTTTGGCCGTTTGGCCTTCAGGAAAAGGCTCAGGATGGAAAGCTGATCCTGGGGAAAGCCATTCCCCTGAGGTCGAGGACCCGTTTCCTTCGTGGCACAGGAGGGTTCTCTTCAGGGGCAGCGTGGTCGGGGCCTCCTTGGAGGTCTCGAGGTGGATCCCTCCCTGTCGTCCCGCGGAGGACGCGCAGGGGCACAACTTTGAGTTCAACTTGAGGCCAATTTCCAACTTTGGGTTGAGGCCAATTCTTGCTCAACCAAGGCGCGGATTCTGCTCTATCGGCACATACAAAGGGTCTGCGCGAAGTCTCGCCGATTGCAGGTTGGCCTCCGCGTGATTCTGAGATTGCCTGGTGCAGTTGGCTGCCTACTGCAGGCTGGCTGTCGAATTTGATTCGGGGTTGCGATCCGTTGCCCGCTGACTGTAGACACACATGTCAGCTCAGCCTGAAGCCCACAAGGGTGTCTTGGGGGGGCCCTCTTGAAGTCCTCTCGGGTCGCCCCCTTGTCTTGGCATCGCTCGGACGTGTGCATTTTTTTCGGCGAGGACCATCGAGGAGCATCCTTGATCAATTGGCGAAAAAAACACGCACGAAACAAAAAAAACACTGGGAATGGACGTCCGAGCGATGGCCAGTTGTGGGGACCGGTGCCTCCCGGGGGATGCGAGGCGCCTCCAGGAGCCGGCGCCTCGCGTGGCGGCCTGGAGAGGGGCGCATCGTCGGCTCGGAGTGCTGGCGTTGCCCCCGTCGCCACTTCCCCGCCCGAGCGCAACCGACACGCGATGCAGGGCCCGCGCGCCAGCACTGCCTTCGACACGCGCTGGGACGTGGCCAGCGGGAAGCGCCATCGCGGCCGCATGGGTTATGCCAGACCAGTCAGCCTCACTAATGTTTTCGTTATTCAGAAGAGGGCAGGGTGAGACAAGGGTGACGTTTTTGCCTTTTTCGCCTCCGAGGGGCCTCCTCGTCGCCACGGCTGGACGCAGCGTGAAAAATCGGTGCGTTTGGACCCGGGGAGGGGTCCGGGGACCGATTTTGAGCCGATTTGGCCACCGTTGTCTCACGGCCGTTGTCTCACGTTGCCCTCCTCCGAGTTATGGTGCCATCTTGCCCTCCCACACAGCTACACGTATTCAAACAGTACGTTCCAGCGGACCGCGGCTCTACCAACACGCAGGATCCCGGCGCACGACAATCCACGCGCTCACGCACAGATTATGACATCGCGCGTGCAAGCGCTGCTCGGGGAGGGGTGCGCACGCTGTGCGCACGCATGTGCTGGCCAGAGTGCATTCGTTCTATGTGCGATTCTCAGGACATGCCATTTTTCGGCACACGCGACTTGGGTACGGAAACCATTGGCACGATGTATTGCGTCAAATGGTGTCCGAAGCCGACGGCGGCCGCTGCTGGGCGGGCGATTTTCGGCCTCGTCCGGACATCGCCCGCGGCGACGCCGACAGCGAGTCGTGTTCAAAGTGGGCAGAAATCGCTGTCGGTCTTCGCCCCCATTGTTTCCATATTTATATCCGCCGCGAAGTTATACACAGGCACCCTCCGATGCATTGTTCCATGTTCCCGGGCCTCAGGGAAGGGCGGCGGTGTATAATTCACCATTGAGAGCCAGCGACTTTATACACCGCCGCCCTCCCTGAAGGTACTTGCAAAGCTCGTCGGAGGGTGTATGTGTGTGTATATATGTGTGTATTCGTGGCATACATCTCACACCGCAGTGACTGCTTGGGGCCGCCGTAGCAGGGGAGGCCCGACGTCTGCCCCCTGGAGGCGCTGAGAGTGCAGATCTGCAGCAACCTGGCCCTGTACTCCAGCCGCTACGACGAGGATCGAGCGGGGACGCTCCTCCTCCTCCTCCTCCTCCTCTTCCTCTCCTCCTCCTCCTCCGCCTCCTCCTCCTCCTCTCCTCATCCTCCTCCTCCTCCTCCCCTCCTTACTTCCCCCTAATCCTCCTCCCCTTCTCCTCGCCTCTCCTCCTCCTACCGCCTCCTCCTCCTCCTCCGCCTCCTCCTCCTCTCCCTGTCTTCCTCATCCTCCTCCTCCCCTCCTCACTCTCCTCCTCCTCCTCCTCCTTACTCCTCCCCCCCCGGCCCCCCAGTTCTGCCTGCCACCCCCCACCTTCCACTGTGAACTGGTGCGCGGACCCCAAAGCGGTCCAAGACCGTCCAGAACAAAGCTCACGATAGGCTCCCAGGGGGCCCCAGGGACCCCTCTCAGGGCCCCAGGGAAGTCTGCATACAGTTCGAAAAAGCCCTCAAGAACCAGCAACGCAATGTCCGTGGCCGTTTTTGGCCAAGACCGAAGTGAGCACGATTGATTGGCCCTTGATCCTGATCGCGTGCGGGGTGCTGAATCTACCTGGGTTACCGCGTGGCTGCACATCAAGAGAAACGCGATGCTGGCACAGGCCACATGTAGCCTTACAGTCGGTGCGCTGAAGAAGGAACCCTCTTCGTTGTGGAGGGGCTCCGTGTTACTTAATTGTTTCACAGCTTGCCTCAGGGTGTCCTTATGTTTCCGATGGGAAAATCGAAGTTCAACTTATGGAAAAAAGGGGCCTCGTTCCTTATTTAGGGTTCCTTAGGTCAACGCCCCGACTGTACGTGTTTGTTAGTCTGGTTTGTTCAGTGTGCAACCGTGGCGGCCCATTTGCAGGTCCCGCAGCCTCATGGTACGTGTGCATTGGGACGGCCGTCCCAGCGGCAGGGTTCCCGGCTGCGCGCGATCCATGATGGTACACAGCCGCTACCAAGGCTGTTCCATGCACGACTCGTTGTTTATTTACGATTGAGTCGGGCCTGAACCCTAAACCCTAAACCCTAAACCCTAACCCCTCTACTGGGGGAAAATTCAAAAACAGTCAACACATACTAGGTGGACGATGTTTTGACCATGTTCGAGCATTTTTGGTGCATTGTCCCACCATTGCTTGCACTTTCGCCTAGAATCCGCCTGTAGGGGGACACGCCCGACCTAAATTTACGACCCGAAACATGTCGCACCTGCATTGGACCCCGATGCCAGATTGGGGAGTAGTGGTCGCGCTTCGCTGGCCAGCATTATTTCATACTATTCGACTGAACCGTCGCTATCGGCGAGGGCGCTGCAGTGCGCCTCTTCTCAGCCACGGCGGTGGCAAGCGGTGGCACGAAAGTCACCGAGACCGCTATTCTGTTCTCGGCGACACGGTGACGGTCCTCGCGCAGCTCTCGCGATGCACAACTAAAAAACTTACGAGTGTCCCTCGCTTGCTATTGGGGGTTCAGTCTTTGAGGGTTCGGCGAAGGTGAGCTCAATAACTTGGACTGTCCCTGTTCGGGGCCGCAGTTATCTATGCAAAAATCAGAGTGAGGAGGCTGAACCGAACGGTCATTCACTGTCCCTGGGTGCGTGGCTGAAGTGGAATTCCGCGATGCGGATTATTGTTGTTGGTGGTGGTGGTGGTGTTGGTGTCGTTGTTGCTGTTTGTTGTTTGTTGTTTGTTGTTCGTTTTTTGTTGTTGTCGTCGTCCCACCCGCGACCCGCCCCGCGACCCACCCGCTACCCACCCCGCGACCCACCCGCGACCCACCGGCGACCCACCCCGCGACACACCCGCGACCCACCCCGCGACCCACCCGCGACCCACCCGCGACACACCCGCGACCCACCCCGCGACCCGCCCGCGACCCACCCTGAGACCCCCCCAGGCAACCCACCCGCGACCCACCGGCGACCCACCCGCGACCCACCCGCGACGCACCTCGCGACCCACCGCGACCCACCCGCGACCCACCCGCGACCCACCGCGACCCACCCCGCGACCCACCCGCGACCCACCCCGCGACCCACCCAAAATATTCGGCGCCTGCGGCGGGTTTCCTTTGCAGCCGTTCCAGGTGGAGAACCTGCGACCCACCCGCGACCCAAACCGCGCCCGCGACCCACCCCGCGACCCACCCAAAATATTCGGCGCCTGCGGCGGGCTTATTTTACATTCGTTCCCAGTGGAGAACCTGCGACCTACCCGCGACCCAAACCGCGTTCACTGTACAAATCAAGAGTTCCGGCGCCTGCGGCGGGCTGTTTTTGAATTCCTTCCAGGTGGAGGTGGAGAGCCCGCGACCCACACGCGACCCAAACTACGTTCACTGAACAAGCCCGCGACCCACCCCCTCTGCGAGCGCGCGCGCTCCGCGGAGGAGGGGGGAGGAGCAGGGCGAGGAGCAGGAGGAGGAAGACGACGACGACGACGACGAGTACGAGGACGAAGAGGAGGCCGACGACGAGGGCGAAGAGGAAAAGAAGGGGGGACGGAGGGGGACGACGAGAAAGGAGGGAGGAGGAGGGGGAGGAGGAGGACGAGGAGGACGACGACGACGGAAAGGAGGAGGGGGGAGGATCGGGATGGGGGAGGAAGAGGAGGAGGAGGAGGAGGAGGAGGAGGAGGACGACGACGACGACGACGAGGACGAGGACGCGGACGAGGAAGAGGAGGAGGAGGAGGAGGAGGAGGAGGAGGAGGAGGAGGAAAGGGGAACAAAAGGAGAAGGAGACAGGACAGGAAGAGGAGGCGGACGACGACGGCGACGACGATCAGGACGATGACGCGGACGAGGAAGAGGAGGAGGAGGAGGAGGAGGTGGAGGAGGAGAAGGAGGAAGGCGCCATCGACAGGGAAGGTGAGGGCCACGAGGTCCGCCATCGGAAGGTCTCGGGCCTGCTGGGGCACAGATAGGCTCTGAGAGGGCGTGGGGGCTTCCGAGAAGCCCCGCCGCCTTCTGAGAAGGCCGGCTCCTTCTGCGAAGCCCTACCGCTTCCCCCCCCCCGCCTCGCCGCAGAGAGGCGAACGAGCGGGGGGCCTCTCGGTCGATCATCGCCTGGGGCCTCCGCGCGTCGCAGTCTGCCCTCCGCCCGCGCCTGCCCACTGGGGCCCCGTAGTGCCCCTGGGGTGCCTCGACAGCGGCGTCCGGGGAACAGACAACAACATCAGCAGCAAAGCTCGGAGGTCCGCGCGGATTTCTCGGACCGGCGCTGGAGCCCCCTCCCTGGCGTTGGGTCCCAGGAGTCCGCGCGGACTGCCGAGTTCCTCATGTTTTCGTAGCACCCCGCAGTTGCCAGTAAGAGTGATAGGGGCGGCGGGGACGTCGGCAGTCTGCGAGGCTCTGAAGAAGCCCGCCGCAGGCGCCAAAATTTTACAACGTATGCAACGCGCCCGCCGCAGGCGCCGATTTTTCGTTAAAGCAATGTTGATGCGTCGCGGGTTGGGTCGCGGGTGGGATGCGGGTGGGTCGTGGGTGGGTCGCGGGGTGGGTCGCGGGCCGGGTCGCGGGTGGGTCGCGGGTGGGTCGCGGGTGGGTCGCGGGTGGGTCGCGGGCCGGGTTGCGGGCCGGGTTGCGGGTGCCCAGCCTGCGGGTACGCGGAGGGTTGCGGGAGTACGGTGCGGGCCCACGCGCGGAGTGGGTACGAGGGTGGGTGGTCGAGGGTGGTCGCGGTGGGTCGAGGGTGGGTCGCGGGGTCCCCGGTCGGTGGGCGGTCGCGGGTAGTGGTGGTTGGCGAGGAGGGGAGGGTCACGGGCGGGTCGCCAAAATCAGGCGGAGCCCAGCGACCCAACCCCACCGATCCGTGCGGCCGCCAACCGGGGCCGGCCCGGGGGGCCAACGATACCGTGACAGGACCGGACCCAAACGGAGCGACCCCCCCGCACAGGAGGCACGAAGAGCGAGGGGGGTCACCAGACCCGCGACCCACCACACACCCCCTCACCCCGCCACGCCGACCGACCCCGGGGGTACACGCCATTGCAGCGGAGGGCGCGCCGAATGCCGGGTCGCGGGTGGGTTGCGGGGTGGGTCGCGGGTGGGTCGCGGGCGGGTCGCGAGGCGGGTCGCAGGTGGGTCGCGGGGTGGGTCGCGGGGTGGGTCGCGGGTGGGTCGCGGGCCGGGTTGCGGGCCGGGTTGCGGGCCGGGTCGCGGGTGGGTCGCGGGCTGGGTCGCGGGTGGGTCGTTTGGGTCGCGGGGGGACGACGACAACAAGCAACAGTCAAAACAATACCAACAAAAAAACAGCAGCAGCAACCGCAACATTAACAACAACACCAACAGCAACACCACTACCACCCCCCCCCACCACCACCACCACCACCACCACCACCACCACCACCACCACCAACAACAACAACAACAACAACAACAAAAACAACAACAACAGCAGCAGCAACAGCAACAACAGCAACAATAACAACAGCAGCGCAGCGAGCATAATGCCCACCACGGATCCTCACTGCAGCCACGCACCCAGGGACAATGCATGACCGTTCGGCCCCCTCGCTCGGATGTCAGCCTTTGCCCCCCTGAGGCGTGGCCCCGCGCCGCTGCGACCAGAGGTCGCAGTTCGTGCCCGTCTGCCCGCGCGCGCGCGGGCGCCTGCCGCGGCCGCGCGGGATCCCGCGGCCGCCCCTCGTCGGAGCAGAGGGGCCGAGCGGCTCCCGCCCAAGCCCTCCGGGGATGCAGCCGCGCGCGCGGGGCGCTCTTCGGCTCCCCCGGCTCGGTTTCGATCCGATGCCGACTGGTTCCGGCCCCGATTCGACTCGATTTCGGATTCCGATGGGGAGTGCGGTCTCTCGGCGAAGGCCGTGTGAGCCTGCCGATGTCCGCCGATTCGAGGTCCCCCAGCTTGGCTGCCGATTGCCGCCGGTACGAATCGTGTCGATCGCCGATCCGACTTCTTGGTTCGATTTCTGAACTCTCCTGCACGTGCGCGCGGCTCGGGCAGCCCAGACGGACGCCGAAGGGGTCCATCGCCGAGGCGCCTGCTGCAACGCTCACGCACGCAGTAGATACAGTCGGCCCTGCTTGGTAGGCCGACCATGCCACATTCGGGCCGGGCGAAAGGGGGGGATTGGGAAAGGGGGGGTTACGAGTAATACGGTCTCGTTATTGCGTAGCATGCAGCTGGTTTCGGATCTCAACGGAGGGCCCATTCCTCGATACATAGCCGCCTCTCCCCCCGCGCCGGGAGGCCGCCCGGGAAAAAGTCAGCTACGTGAGTTGCCATTCTCAAACCCCCCTTGATACATCCCCCCCTGTTTCGTTGACCGACCCGAAACCATCGAGCGGGTACACTCGTGTCTTGCCTATCCCGACCTGCGCAACCCCCGCATGCACGCATGTCCTTTCTGTGCTTTGGGGCCACGTTGCTGTCGGAAGAGTCTTGTGCCCCCTCGTGTCCTGGCCAATCAAGTCCGACTGTAGATCTAGGCGTCCCAGATGGGGTCGGAGGATCGCGCCACATCGCCGATGCATCGGCGATGCGGCTCGATGTGGAGCCCGTTTCTTTCTGCGCCAGCGTCGCCGATGTACCGCCGACGGTGCCGACGTCGCCGATGGGTTGGCGATGCGGTGCGACCCTCCAGCCCCGTCTGCTCGGACCCCATCTTGGAGGCGGCCTCTAGTAGAGGAAGCGGCAAGTGCATGAGCATTACTTCTCGGAGGTTCGCGCAGCTTTCTTGGCTCGGCGCTGGCCGCCTCCCGGGCGGGCGCCTCCGGCGCCGCCTCTGGCGCGGTAGGGAGGGGGGCCCAGCGCCTTCGCATCGCTCGGACGTGTGCATCTTGCTCTCGGCGAGGACCGTCGACGAGCATCCGAGCAACAGAAACACGCACGAAGTCGCAAAAATGCACGGCGAATGGACGCCCGAGCGATGGCGAGGCGCCGCGCCGACGCAGGATTCCCGTGTGGACTTCCGAAACCGCCGAAGCAGGAAACGGTTCGGATTCGTGAGGGGCTTGCTTTTCTTCCGGTCCTTACGTGGCAATTCCTCCTGCGTCCCTGGTGCACGCAGGCACGATTGGCGGCCAGAGAGGGGTCTCGTCCCTTGTGTAGCGTTCTTTGTATGATCGCAGCTTGACCCGGCGGAGATAGAGCTGCATCAACATCCCGTTTCGGAGGTCCGCGCGGACTGCTTGGATCGGCGCGGAGCGCTCCAGTGGCGGCGCTGGAGGCGCCGCCGGGGCTGCGAACAGGCACGACCTGCCGAGTCCCCCGTTTACCAGCTGTTTCCCAGATGTCCGATTCCAGACTGTGGCGATTTCAGCCCCGTCCTGCCCTTGTCTGCGAAGCAACTGGGGGTGTGGAGGCCCTTCCGGCGCTCTGGCAGGACACCATTTCTTCGGCCACGGCGTGACGTGTCGCAGCCAGCAAGCACTGCGCTGCCACGTGGTAGTGGCTATGTGCTCATGCGCGTTTCGTACTCGGCATTTTTACCCCTTGACCGGGGGTCGGCAGACCGGGGGCTGGGGCCTTGCATTTTGCAGCTGTTTCGGGCGCGCAAGCCCTGACGACCAAGGGCCCTGTCATGCGCGCAGCCCAGATGTTTAACATGGTTTCCACACCGTACCCAATATCCCATAGGGGCGGCTCGTGGCCAGACGTACCCACACGTGCAAGAAACAAAACAATTGCAATGCAGAAACAAATCTGCAATGCAAATTTTCAGATGTCCCACCAAAGTGCTGCAGAACAAAATAACTACAGTGCAGAATAAACATCCTGCAGTGCAGAAACAATTGCATCGGAAAGGTCCTGCGGCGGCAGCGCGGCTTGCCTGGCCCTGGCGTGGCTCGCCGCACGCGGCTTGCGAGAAGCTCACTTGCTTTGAAACGCAGCCGAAAAAACATCCGTGGCAGGCTGGCTCCGTTCCGGAGGCCTGATTAAAGCTTGGCATCGCTCGGACGTGTGCATTCTTCTTTCGGCGAGGACCATCGAGGAGCATCCTTGATCACTTGGCGAACAACAACACGCACGAAACCGAAACAAAAAACACAGGGAATGGACGTCCGAGCGATGGCCAGTAAAGGGCACAAGAAGCTTGCCTGCCCTTGTCTCAGAGGCCGGGGTGGGCGCAGAGGGTGGTCCCCCCCCCCCCCTGCGGGAGCCAGGACCTCCAGCCGCACGTAGAGGCGTGCGTCAAGGCCGCGTGGGGCCTGGCGGTGGCCAACCCTGGAGGGGGGGGGGCAAGTGCAGGTGGGAGCGACGGCCTCCTCCTCCTCCTCCTCTTCCTCCTCCTCCTCCTCCTCGTCTTCCTCCTCCTCTTCCGTTCGCCACCTTGCTC